TAATATTTTACTACATGCTGACCCAGAGGGGAAGAATCTGAGCTGAAGGTGGGTTGTGTGCCAGAAGGGTTATTTTGCAGAAGCACCAGGGCACTTCCATGGGCTCTTGCTTGTGTTGGAGCAGTTTCCCCAAGTGCTGGGAGCAGTGGTTCTGTCCTTCTTTAATGTTAAAAGTTCACATGCAATTGAAATACTGGCTTTCCTATTGGGATGTGGCTTTTAATTAAAAACTGCTCTCAACCCACGCTTGATCAGATACCTGCATGTTGCAGATACAGATTCAAAACACAGATGGATCTGAGTGATTTCTTGCTTATCTCTTGAAGTTTCCTTCATCTTCCCAGAATTATAGAACTGTTTGGGTTGAAGGGACCTTCAAGACCACCTCATTCCACCCCCTGCCATGGGCAGGGACACCTTCCAGTAGCCCAGGTTGCTCCAAGCCCCATTCTGAACCTGGCCTTGGATACTTCCAGGGATCCAGGGGCAGCCACAGCTTCTCTGGGCAACCTGTGCCAGGGCCTCACCCCCCTCACAGAGAGGAATTTCTTCCTAATTTCCAATCTAAACCTACTTTCAGTTTGAAGCTGTTTCCCTTTGTTCCTTCTGGCTCTGAAAGGAAAAGACTATTTCCAAGGACTGTCACACTGGCAATGTTGCTGTTTCAATGGTAGATATGACTCATTTCAGTCAAAGCTCTAGAAGAAAGCAGCGACCTGAGTGTATTTGTTGAGTGGCTACTAAGCCAGAATATTAACTGTCCTGAGTGTGTAAGGTGCGGAATTTGACGTAATTCAGCCTGGTCAAAGCAAGGACAGGGAGTGTGTTAGACATGGAGAGCTGAAGTGTTTTCCTCTTTCCTCTATAGATTTTTTTTTTTTTGGTCATATTTTAAAAAACAATCCAAAACCAATTGTTCAGTTGCTAATAAATTCCTTTAGCCACAAGATGAGTTAAGAAGGAATGACTGAGGTCAGCAACTCCAAAAAGTGTAGGGTTTCCGCTTTGGCACAAGTGATTATTTGTCTTGATAGCAGAGCAGTTGACTTAATTAAAACACTGTCCACATACCTGGGTAGCTCTGCTGGAGACTAATGTTACCCAGGACAAGAGAATCCTTGTTGAACACATAGCAGAGTGCGCTGCACTCACTTCTCACTCAGGTTTTCTTTCCTCTGTACTACACATCCATTGTATGTCTCCTTGGAAAATAATATCCCACAAGCACAGTGCCCTGTTGCTTCTGAATGATGCTGCTGTTCCTTCCAGGCTGGACCCCCAGAGACCCTTCTTTTTTCTCTTCTGATTTACCTTGAGGGTGGTCTCACTTTGTAACTACACACACAGCCACCAGAGGAGATGGTCGAGAGCTGATTTGGGGAAACACAGCTGTGTTGGGGCCCAGAGGACCAAATTACATTAATGTAACCTCTAACTAAAGATACCAGCTGCAGGTTGTATTCTGCATTTGATCTTCCACTGATGAGAATGGGAAAAACTTGTGTCAAAACAAAGATGGGAGCCCAGTCTTTGCTTATAAAACAACCCTCATCTCTCCAGTGTTTGCATTGCAGTGCCATTTATTTATAGTGTGGTGATGAATTGGACAAAATCACCGCTTGGGCATTTCAGCTTGGCCTGAGGAGTGGGTTAATTCTTACGTTTCTAAATTTGAGTCAAAATTCCCTGTTGGAGACAAGTACTCAGGCACTTAAGTGCATTTTGGCTCTTCAGTTAACACAGAAGCAGCTTGGTAAGAACAGTTAACAATGCAAATCCACTGTTTCAGGCTGAGGATCAGTTGCCTTCTAAACAGTTGTCTCTGCTGGGATCAGAAGATAAACTGAATTCTGCAAGAGTCTGACTGTGCACAACAGTCATTTAAATGCTTTAAGAAGATTCAATACTTGACATGGAGATGAATCAGCCTCGTGAACATGGAGCTGAAGTGTTTAAAGCTGCAAATTACCTTGTTCAAATTCCTGCCTTTGCCTTGTAAGCAGTTTCCCAGAGTAAAAAGTGCATAAATCTTGTAAATTCCTTCTTAGGAAGTACAGCAGCTGTTGAAAGTTGATGTAAGAAATTATATAAAAATTATGTTCTTGGGGTAACCATGCCAGACTTGGATGCTTTTCCAATAATTAGAATTACACAAGTCCTTCCATCAGCTGGAATATCTAGTTTTTTGAAAAAATACTGTTGAAATTTTCTAATATTTCCAAAGTAGATGAGTGGGTTTTATTGTGAAAGAAGGAGAAAATAATAGATTTCCTGGAGTCCTGTAGAGTGTCTGTACCAAGGAGACAGTGGATATAGAGCTGCTTGTTACAATGGAGGATTATAATACACTGCAGTATTATATTCTAGGAAGTGTATGACATAATGCAGTCACTGTTAGGGCTATAAGAATAACCACAGCCCTTAGAAATTGGGAAAGTGACCCTACTCAGGAATATTTGTTGCCAAACCATCCAGAGATAAGTTTAGCGTGGAAATTCAGTAGATTGCACCTTAAAAACAATGTGTTTGATTCCTTCTAGTCCATATGGAATTGTGCTCTCCTGCTGAGCCATGTTGGAAACTCCACACTGGGCATGTGCTATTCTTAAAAGAAAATTAAATCTAAAAGTTATTTGTGTGGGGTTTTTGTAAGGGTTGTAAATTCAGCTTTTCTGCAGGGGAGTTGACTCTGCCTCAAGTTTGGGGTTTCTTGTGAAAATGCTTTGTGTGTATGTTTGGGATTGAGGAATTGCACAGCAAGACCTCTGGTGCTCCCTCCCCACACATGTAATGGAGGGATTCCCAAGGAAATGAAATGGAAACAGAACCTGAGGGAAATGCCCCTTTTCCCCCAGTTCTGTTTTCATCGTGATTACTCATCCCAAACACAGGTCAGAGTGTTCCTGGACACTTCTCTCTGTGCTGAGGGGCTCCTGGGCAAGGAGCAGCCGGGAGGAAGGGATATATCCCACTGATCACCCCTGGGAACAGGCTGGAGCACAGCTCTCACTGCTCAGGTGCTGTGGGGCTGGTTTTGTTGCACCCAAAATTGGAGCAGTGTTCTTGTGCGCCTGAAGAGTCAGCCCCAAATTAATGGTTGATGGGGAAGAGAAGGAAGGGACAAAGTAGATCCAGATGGGCTCACAGAGACATCGTTTCACTGAACTTGTGCCACGACACTGCTGATCTGGATCAGCTCTGGGGAATATCAGGGCTGTCTGTTTGCAGGAAAAGGAAGGATTTCCTGAAAAGCTGCTGCTTCCTGTCCACTTGTATTTACCAGTGAAGGTGTTTTGAGGCTGCTTCAGCCAGGGCTCCAGGTATCAAGTGATGAAGTTCTCAGAGAGCATTGAGCTGTATCTAAACACTGATCTCTCTGCTCTTAGTCTGGGCTCTCCAGGTCCCCCTCTTACCATGTTACAGTGTATAGAGACCAAAGTAACAGTGCTCAAACTAATATTTCAGCTTTTTCAGTACTGTTGGTAACTTTACCAACCATGTCTTGCTTTGCCTCTTATTTTTTATATGTTTACGGAGTGATTGTGTGGGTCAGGTGTTGCATTCCTTGCTGGCCATATCTTAGAATCATGGAATGGTTTGGGTTGGAAGGAACTTTAAATCTCATGTGGTTCCACCCCCTACCATGAGCAAGGACACCTCCCACTAGCCCAGGTTGCTGCAAGCCCCGTCCAAGCTGGCCTTGGACACTTCCAGGGATGGGGCAGCCACGGCTTGTTCTGTCATTTGCTATTTGTGGGTTTTTTGGTCTTTCACAATTGCATTGGTTTATGTGTCCCTGCTTCCTTTGATTATCATCCTCTGTAGTTATTGCTTTGTACTTGGGATTAGAAATGTTTTTGTTTCAGGCATTTTGATCTCTTATGTTCCATCTAGTGCATTAAAATAGTTTCAGGGCTGCTGCATCTCAAATTTGTTTTGTTTTCTCCTCTAGGCTTTTCCTATATTTTCTTTATTTCTTCTTCCCTCTCCTTTTCATTTCTTATGAGTTGTGAATTTATCACTTCATGATTAATCTTACCCTTGATTGCCTTTTGTCCTCATATTCTCAGTCAGGTTTTCATCTCTACAACTTAGAGTGAAATGTAGAAGAGATTCCACACTTGTTATTTCTATTATTATTTTATTAGCACATTGTCACCAATCTATTCAAGAATTTACCAGTTGTCCTCTGATCCTGTTGGGAAAGGACCTCAATGGGATCATAGGGTGTTTTGCTTTAATCCCTTTCTCTTGCAGTGGAATCTGGAAAGTTTTTCCAACAGGAAATACACAATACCTTATTTGTTTAATAATAACAGCTCCAGGAATGATTTGTTGATTGTCACTGCCGTGCCCTGAAGTCTGTGCAGGGCAGATGGAGTCTCATCCCTTTGCAGGATGTCCCAGCCTCTCTGCCATGGTAAAAGCAGAGCTTGTCTTTCTCCATATGAAGTGCAGGGAGGCACCAGTGGGTTCTGGACCCATTAAAATCTACCTGTGCAGGAGATGTGTTGGATTTAACATGTGCACACACACGGACACGTGTATTTTTATTACCCAGCATGGTCCTGTTTGGCCGCCTGCCTGGAAACTCTTGTAAACTCGACCCAGAGTGGGAACTTGGGAAAAACACACTGCAGCGTGTGGATGGTGTGTTCCTTTAGCAGCTCCCTCGTTTCCACTCCACTTTAAATATTTACCTTTATCCGTCAGTCCTGGACAATCACTTTCCCGGCCGCTTTGGCACGTGGTGAATGTGGAACGTGTATATATTGAAGTGAGCTGGACCATACCAGTGGTTGGGTAATTAAATCTGAAATTACTGGAGGTGGGAGCATAAGATTGTGCTATAACTTAAGTGCAGCTTAACCTGAAGAGTTTTGGCTTTGGGGCAGATGTAGGCTGTTAATAACACAATCTGTTCTTAGGGGTGCCAGTCTCTTTTAACTTCGACGTGTTTCCCTCTCTTCCCTCCCTGTGGTTTTTCTCCAAACCCACAGGTCCCGAGCCTGTGTGAAGATCTCCTCTCCTCTGTGGATCAGCCCTTGAAGATTGCACGAGACAAGGTGGTAGGAAAAGACTATTTACTGTGTGACTACAACAGAGATGGGGACTCGTACAGGTGAGCTCGTACCCCAAGCAGGGCACTGACTGGTGCTTTGTAAATGAGAGCTTTGTACAGGTACTGCAGGCCCTTCTCGCTCTTATTTCCAACCAGAAAAAAATCAGTCATCTAAAGATTTAAAGCCTAAAATGTGCTGTTATTATCTTGTTAAAGGGCTGACTGATGTATTTCTCTTTGCTCTCAGTATTCTGAATTAAAACCAGTCGATTCTCCAGCAGAAATGACTGGGATGGCCTTGATAGGAAATAAAACATTGCAAGGTTATAAAATCTTTGGAATGGATAATGACAGAAAAGAGATGATGCAAGCAGTTGGTTTAAACAAAATCATCTTCTGCTTGTACAAAACAGGGTGGATTTGCCAGCTGGGAAAGGCTCTTTCACTCGTGTTTTGCAAGGGATTGACTCTGACTTTGGACTCGATGTCACTAGTTCTGTTTGAAAATCTTGGCCCAAGTCTTTAGCAAAGAAAAGGAATTCCTGTCTACCAAAATAGCTGATTTATCCTGAGGACTGTAGACAAAACCAATGAAAGTATTTGAACAATATAAGCTGTCTGTAATTACAACATAATTAGTTTTGAAGTAGAAGGGGTGGTAAGTACCATGGAATGGTACAATGAGGTTTCAGTGTTTTGGCTGGCATTTTGAACAGAGTCTCTCTGTGAATGTTTTTATCCTCTGCCTTGCCATTGGGATGATGATTTTTATTTATTTTTTAATTATCCCCTCCCCTTTTTTTGCATTGCCCGACTTTCCTTAGTGGCTGTAGTGACAGTGGCATAGTCCCAAATATTTAATTAAGAATCACAAACTTATAGTCCAGAAACCTTTGTGAATATTCGCTTTTATTCTTTCCCTTAACAAAGGGCTGCGAGGTAATGACCCCCATTCATCTTCTGTCCTGAGTTACCAGCTCAGCCAAACTGCTGCTTCTGGGGGTGATTGTGATTGTTCCACCTGATGTGGATTACACAGAGAACATGCTGAGATTCATTTTGTCCTAGAAACAGGAGGAGAAGAATGATAATGGATGCAGAGTTTGACAGTGCATTTGGATTGTAGCTGAGTGTAAATCCTGATGAGTTGTTTTAAATATAATGTATTACAGAGGGCCAAGAAGTAGCAAATCTTGAAGGTGAAGTGTCACGTTCTTTAGGGCACTTGTTTAACGTTTAAAATTATTGGAACCTTTTACAAAAGAGCCTGGTACCTTCTAAAAGCATTAAGCTTTTGTGTCTCAGTTGGTCAGATCTACCTTAGCAGCTACATACACTTAATCAGTTCTGAATTAGTAGATAAAATATGGTTTTGCAGGGTCTGCCCTGTAGCCAAGATGTACCCACACAGCTGCAGACCCTCTGGAAGATGCCAGAGGAGGGATTAGGTCCTGAATTTTTTGTGGATCTTTCAAGAGATGCTTTCTCCCTGAAGTTGTGATGTTTCTTGCAGTCCCTTTGCATCCTATTCAGGCTTTTGTCATGAGCATCTGTCACCAGAGTCACAGGAAACTGGCAGAGGCACAGGAATGTGACATTCTGCAATCACTAGTAATCCCTCCATGTTTAATTAGGACACGTGGCAGCCCTTTCTCCAAGGGTAGTATCATATTTGCCTCTGAAATTTGCTCCATCTCTTTCTGAGAAGGCATTTAAATAGTTACAGGGGAGCAGGAGGAATTTGGTTTTTAAAATCACTTTGAAATTTTCAGGACTTGTTAAGTAATGAGGTTTCAGAAAAGCTGTTTCATTTGTTCCTATAGAACAGGCATCATGTGTTAATTGCTGGCATTAAAGATTCCTGTTCTGTTTGATTCAGATGTTCTGGATTGAAGTGATTCTTCCTTCTGGAACTGATTGGTCCCAGCTCTGTTTCATGAAGCAAATTCTTTCCTTCCCCACACAGCAAAAGCCTTTGAAAAGCAGCCCCACTTCCCTGTGCATGTTAATCCCATTCTATGCCTGTGTCCAGACACTTCTTCGTACCTCGTAAAACCTGCAGTTGTTACTGGGAAGTGGCTCTTACCCTAATTTAACCAATTAGCCCAAAATTCTCTGTGTTTTTAAAAGCTTTTGATATTTCCACAAACATTTTTCAGAACCACACGCTCGATTAGAAGTCCCAAAGAGTCCTATTCCCTGCCTGCAACGGGTTCCATCCCCAATTCCCACATACTCCAAACCAAACCTTTTCTTCTTATTGGACAGGTTGTTAATTGCATTTCTTTTAATGCTAATCCAAGGATTTCAAACCATTCTGTGGACAACTAAGCAGGAAAGGTGGGGCTGGGTAGTCAGACTTTCTCACTGGGATTCCAGTTTTATAGGGTGTTTTTTCTTGAGTGGCTTTACAATTTGACTGGGAATTTGATTGGAAAAAAGCTGCTGTGGGAAGTGAATATCTTAATGCTTGGCCCATCACAGTTTAGTCTTTCCTCATATTTAGGCAGACTTGATTTTGTCCGTGTTGAACATGGATCAGATTAGAAGATGGATTTTTGGAATCTCTCTTGGATCTTTATAAATACATAATTTTAATTTTCTTCATATTATGAACTGCTGCCTGTGGGAGCAGCTTTTGGTGCTTGAAGTTTCACAGGTACTTCTGGAATGTTACTGGAATAACAGAGGTTTGTGGAGGATCTCAAATAGCCACAGAATCGACATTGTGAAGGCAGAGCTTTTATTAATTATTTTTTTTAAATATTAAACTTCAGGGTCCTGACTTTGTCCATACATATCCATTCGGAGTGTGTTTGATCACTCTGTTAAATGGAATCCTTATGGGGAATTTGGTGCCAACAACACTGAAACCTGTTAGCTGAAACAAAAACCTTTCTCTTCTAGGGAAATTAGAGGTCTGACTTTGGAAATTTAAGTGCTTGCCCATCTGTCTTTCTTCAAATAGCCTCCAGTTAAGTGTTTGAATGTGTTCTGAGTGCTCTTCCACAAGAATAAAAAATACAGGGTTGTGTCAGGAGGTTTTTTATTGGTAAAGTTGCTGCTGGTTCCAAGTGGAATGGATTGAAAATGTCACAAAGTGCTGGCTAGAAGAATCTGTTCCTAGACTGCTCTTAAATCCCAGTCTGCAGCCTGAGGAGGAGGTCTGATGTTTGCAGTGAAAGTGTCTTCACCAAGGTCCTGCAGGAATTCTCTGCCCACCAATTGGTTTGGAGATCCCACCTGATGGGAGTAGATGAGCCATTTGGGAATCCTCAGGTAGCACCAGAGGGGATTTTTGTGTGAATCTCATCCAGATTTCAGAGATTTTAGGTAAAAGAATGAAAAGATGGGCTGAGAGGGGATGTCATCTGTGTCTGTCAGTGTCTGCAGGGAGGGGACAGAGGATGGACCAGGCTCTGCTTGGAGGGGCCCAGCAATGGGACAAGAGGAAATGGTCAGAAACTGATCATAGAATCATAGAATCATAGAATCGACTGGGTTGGAAAAGACCTCCGAGATCATCGAGTCCAACCCTTGGTCCAAATCCAGTCCATTTACTAGATGATGCCCAGGAAGTTCCACCTGAACATGAGGAAGAACTTCTTTACACACACTGGAACAGGTTGTTTAGGGAGGGTGTGCATTTTAATCCCTGGAGATATTCCAGACTCATCTGGACACAAATGTAGTGCCATGTGCTCTGGGATGACCCTGCTGGAGCAGGGAGCGGGGACCAGATGAGCCACTGTGGTCCCTTCCAACCACACCCATTCTGGTTCTGTGCTGTAGCTGTTGATTATTCTCCAATGCAACCACATTTTAGGCAACTGTTTAAAATCACAGGATCGTTGAGGTTTGAAAATCCCTCCCAGCCCATGGAGTCCCCCCTGTGCCCCATCCCCACCTTGTCCCCCACCCCAGAGCACTGAGGCCAGGCCTTCCTTGGACACCTCCAGGGGTGGGGACTCCACCACCTCCCTGGGCAGCCCCTTCCAATGCCTGACCACCCTTTCCATGGAGAGATTCCTCCTGCTGTCCAACCTGACCCTCCCCTGGCACAGCTGGAGGCCGTTCCCTCTCCTCCTGTCCCTTGTTCCCTGGGAGCAGAGCCCGACCCCCCCCGGCTCCCCCCTCCTGTCAGGGAGTTGCAGAGCCAGAAGGTCCCCCCTGAGCCTCCTTTTCTCCAGGCTGAGCCCCCCCAGCTCCCTCAGCCGCTCCTGCTGCTCCAGCCCCTTCCCCAGCTCCGTTCCCTTCCCTGCACACGCTCCAGCCCCTCCAGGTCCTTCCTGAACTGAGGGGTCCAGAACTGGACACAGCATTTGAGGTGAGAACCACGACCTGAAAACATCACTCTAGGTGGATGTGACACCATGATTTAGCTTGTCCTGGGGTCTCACCTTTGGAGCCAGATGTGTTCAGGAGGAGTGAAGGGAGCAAAGCCGAGCCTGGTCTTTGTGCTTTATATCAAACACATGTCAGAACTCAGTGCCTTCCTGAGAAATGAGTAGCAAATGGTTCCTGAGGGAAAACCCTTCCATAGGGTCAGCGTTAAGACCTGGCTGGGACATTTGGAAAAGTGAGGAGGTACAAGGTAGAGGTACGTTCCTTTAAACCAGCAGTGATATATGTAGGTGGTTATTCCAAGGGGAAATGGGAATTATAAAAGCCTCAAACAGACGGGCAAAGGGTTCCATTAATCTTTTAATACCAAATCTTTCATTAAGAGCATGAAAAATCTCTTCCACTCCTGCAGAAATCACAGTAAAACCTGCAGCTTTACAAACCCTGTTAAATCCTTCAGACTGTTCAAAGGGTTTCCTAGTGTTATGCTGAAGGTAGAGTTTATTTCAAAGCAAAACAGTGGAGAAGAATTTGGGCCTTAATTGTAGAGAGCAGTGTTTGGCTCAAGTAGTGTCAGATCCCAAATAAACTTATTTTTATTATTAAAACATCAATATTATTAAATCATGATTTTATTATTAACATTAAATTTGCATGAAAATAATTTCATATATTTGATGTGGAACAGCTGAGTTTTGGGGGTCAATGTCCCCTTTTTGCCAGTGTTTGAAATCACAGAATAAGTGGAGTTGGAAGGGACCCACAAGGATCATCGAGTCCAGCTGGCTGTTGACGGTGCAATTCTTAACAGGTAGATTGCTCTGGGCACTTTCTGGTTTTTTTTGGAAGTTAATCTGTGGATCAGGTCAGACCCACCAATATTAAACCTCTCAGAGCCACAGAATATCCTGAGCTGGAAGGGACCCACAAGAACCATTGAATCCAACTCCTGGCCCTGCACAGGACACCCGACAATCCCACCATGTCCCTGAGAGCGTTGTCCAAGCATTTCTTGAACTCTGGCAGGTTTGGAGCCGTGACCAGAGTTTCTCTCATTGTCTGACAGTGTTTTTCTTGTCTCCTTGGCAGGTCTCCATGGAGCAACAAATACGACCCTCCCCTGGAGGATGGTGCCATGCCATCGGCTCGCCTGCGCAAGCTGGAGGTGGAAGCCAACAATGCCTTTGACCAGTACAGAGACTTGTATGTCAGTTCTACCCTCCAGAGCCCTCTCTTTCTTTGTTTCCCTCAGCAGACACGGTCTGACATGTGGTCCCTACCCCAGGGTGTAGAAGGAGGGGAGGCAGTGCTGATCTGCTGATTTAATGATCCCAAACATGATCAAATCTGTCAGCTCATGCTAAAGGCAGATGCTGAGGTGCTTCCTTGCCTCCCTCCCCCCTCTAACAAATTGACGGTATCTTTGTCCTAGAGTGACCTGTGTTTTCTTTGATCTTTAAGTTCAGTCTTGAACCATCTGTATTTTCCATTCCCTCAAGGCTGTACACTCAAAAAATCCATATATTCAGCAGCAACTCTGATATCTTCCAGCGAAGTGAACACTGAAATGCAGCAGTTGGACAGGGATTAATGTGCTTCTGCTGCAGTTTAGGCAGTTTAGTTTAGGCCCTGTCTTGTTAAAGAGGTGTAAAGCAGAGGAATTAATAGAGCATATGTAAGATGAATGTAGATTAGGCAGTGGCTTTTTTAAAGCAGCAATAGGAAACTGTCTGGGGGACTTCTCAAGTGAACAGTTTTTCTAAAAATTAGGATTGCACTGGTCTTGCACTGCAGTTAATCCAGGGTCTTGAGATGTGATCAGGTTTAGCTGTTGTGTTTGGAGACTAAGGTCTTCTAAGCAGTGCTGAGATGGACATAGTAATGCTAAATCTAAACAGCAAGCGAGTGTTGAAAAGCAAAATGAACTAGTAAGTTTATCCAATACTGAGATACTTCCTCGCTGGAGATGTCTAACAACCATGAACAAGGTGAACAACCTTCATTGCTGCTTCACGTTGCCCAAAACGAGATAAAACACATCCTTAGATGTAGTTCATCATGTTACAGTGCTGACAAAAGCACATTTAAAGGAACTTTTCTTGCTCGATTTTGTGGCTCGATGCAAGTGTAGCCTGTCCAAATGTGTAATCGTCGTACTTGTGTTACAGGTATCAAATTTTTACTTCTTTCCGTGCATTATTTTCATAGCCGTTCAACTTCTCCTGTAAGTAACAGTTGTTATTGCTATCTGAACTGACTGGAAGAAAGGAATTATGCCTATTCAGCAAAGCCAAGTTTGCAGTTATTCCCCAGATGCAGCACAGACCAATAAGTTTTTTTAATACCCTAAGATGAAAATAAGGTGGTGTATGGAACCAGGGTTGTCTGTTTAAATCCCTCTCTGCTCAGATGACTGTGAAGTCAGGACTGGATACAATAACTTCTTTAAACAGCTTTAATTTGCTGGAAGGAAAGCCGGGGGCAGGTTACTCTGAGTGAGGGGAATCTGCTGAGCCCTGCTCAGCTTGGGGTACAGCAGTAATCTTAATATATTGTGTGTGGGGAAAAAAAGGTGAGATTGTACCAAATTCATCTTTCAGTTTGTCAGTGCAACTTTTATAGGCAGGACATGGGAGGGGTCTGGGAAGGATTCATTTGGTGTCAGCAGCCAGGAAGGACAGAGGCAGCACAGGACTAGATAAGCACACCTGTCAGTACAGTGGCATTTTGATGCCACTTATGATCTCAAAAATGGGTGAGAAAAAGGGAACAAGGGTGGCTTATGTTTTGCAGAGCACTGTAAAAATTTAGCGTTTGTGGAAAGGATTTGCAAAGTTAAGGAAACTTAACCTTAGTATCTGGAAGTTAAGTAATGATTTGTACTTTACCGTCAACAGAGATGCGGGGAGAAACAGGCTTTTGCTCTTGCAGTTGGGCTCTGCAGTTCCCTTAATAACACAATTGGATTTTTGTGTTTTGACAGCAGAAGCTTAATTTTTACTTGGAGATCAGAGGAGGGGAAATTCAGGGGGGTAACAAGTGCCAGCTTCTCTCAGTGCTGCTCTTGCCAACACTTCAGGTTGGGAAGGACTGCAACAATTCCTCACACAGCAGCTGCTGGAGCCACGTGGGAGTCTGGAGTGTGGGGAGGGTTGTAGTGAGAATAAGATGGCAATGTCAGTGATGTAATTCCCAGAGTCTGGAAATTAATCCTGGGAAGGCACTGGAAAGCCACGAGTGGATTTGAGCCAAGTGATGTTGATTAAAGGTGTCACTGCCCTGCTGGTCTGGCAGCTTGTGGTGCTGGGAAGGGAGGGCACAAAGCATCAGCTCCATGACAGAGATTCCAGAACCAGTGACAACAGAGCTTTTCCAGCATTGTGAAACACTTCAGGCTCATTGGAAAGTGTTGTTGTGTTAGTCAAAGAACTAAGTAGTCTGCTGGCAGCCCACGGGACTGTATCTTTTGTGAAAATTTTGGTTTCTGGTAGATGGGGAGGTTTCTTCCAGGTTCACCTTCCAGGAACACGGTGATCATACTGTAGGCTGGATGCAGAAAAACTAAATATTGAGTTGACCTGCAGAGACTGATTGTTTCTGTTCACTCTGATGGGGTTGTCTCTCCAAACAGACCATTCATAGGTGCCACCAAGGTAATTGATACTCCACATCACAAACTCTTTCTTAAAAAATACGAGTTTTAAGTGCAATGACTGCAGATTAAGAGGATGAACATTATGCTGAGGGAGAAGCCTCCAATGTGACACATCACCAGCAGTCCCTTAAGAGACCTTCCACTATCCCAGGTTGCTCCAAGCCCCATCCAACCTGGCCTTGGACATTTCCCGGGATGGGGCAGCCACAGCTTCTCTGGGCAACCTGTGCCAGGGCCTCCCCACCTTCCCTCACAGGGAAGAATTCCTTCTCAATATCCCATCTAACCCTGACAGTTTGAAGCTGTTCCCCCTTGTCCTGTCGCTCCAGGCCCTTGTAAATCTCTCTCTTCATCTTTCTTATAGCTCCTTCAGGTACTACAGTTAGGTCACCCCAAAGTTTCTCCAGGCTGAACACCCCCATTTCTCTCAGCCTTTCCTCACAGGAGAGGTGCTTTCAGAGGGTGCTCTGCATGGGGCTCACTTCACTCCTCAGCTTTAAAATACATCTTATACTGGTCATTGCAGCAGGGAATGGAAGAGGAAGACATTGCCTTTCTGTGAATAAATAAGTACTTCTGAGAGTGTCTGCTCTTCCCACTCTGCTTTCTGCACGTGGTCCAAACCTCCTCTGGATTATCTCCCATTTTAAGCACAGAAAAGCACAGATAAACACAGAAAAGTGCTGATATCTCACAGAATTCGTCTTGGGCCTCTCCCAACACTTCAGATCATTTCAGTTTTCCCTCGAATCAGTCCCGCTTGGCCCCCACACCATTCCTTTTTAGATTTCTCCTTTAATCAGGTGTGGAAAGTCTCCACCTCTGTTCAGTGAGTCATTGCATTGTATTTGCCATTTCCCAAGGGGTTGGCACCTGCTGCCATGGGTGTTTTGAGGGAAACAACCTGTTATGGATTTGCTAACTATTTGTGTGAAACTATCCATTTGGATTTGCTTGCTGGGGACCCTAAAATTGAGTTTTGTCCCCAGGAGCTTAGTGGCCAGTGCACTGAGTGACTGTAGTGTGAAAACAAGTTTGGAGAACTCTTGTAATATTGCATGGGATTCTTTAAAATCATGAAAACTCGAGAGGAATAATTTTGCTGAACCTTCAGTGCCTCTTAACCAGTGCTGAGTTGCTCTTAAGTGTTTGGGTTTTTTAATGCAAACTACCTTTGAGTATCTCTGGAGTTTCCCGCCTTTTCTTCCTGGAGTCATATCCACATCTTTTCGGGTTAAAGAGGGATTATCCCAGGTTTTAATTTCCTCTCTGTTCTCTGTGTTAAACAACAAGCATATTTCTGGGTTATCTGTTTTACCAAAATCCATGTCACTTTCCCAAAAAGCAACTGTTACGTTTGGATCTCCTGCTGCCAGGTTTAACTCAGACACTGCCTGCAACTAATGCCCTGGTATGTTTTTGTTCAGTAGGTTATTATTCCCAGATGGAAGTCTAATATCTTACACCACTCAGTTAGAGCCTTGGCTTTCCACTTCCAATATTGTGAACATAATTTCTTCCAACACATGGTAGTAATTTATTGCCCTTTTCTTGATGTGTGTGCGCTTGATTGAAATCAAAGCGTAATGAGGACCAGGGCATCTGGTTAAATCTCTTCTATTTTAGATTCTGCCTTCCCTTGCTTTGGGTTGAAGATAATCAGGGCTTTAATTAAGTAATCTAATGGCTCTTTGTTGTCTGGAAGAAATAATTTCTGTAGTGATTAAACAGACCTCCCTGGGGAAGGATGCTGCTGCTCTGTCTACAAACAAGATGAGGTTTGGCAACTTTGGGCTGGTTTAGTGAGCTGACATGTATTTAGAAAGCTATTCCTCCTTTTTTTTCTTGGCTTAAATGGGATTTATTGGTGCTTTTGATTTTTAACAACTATAAAAAAAAGATAAAACACTCATCTTAATCGTTCTGCTCCTGAAAATGTTTGTATTCATTAAGTTTTTAGTTCCCTCAACAGAGCAAGCAATGAAACCTTTTGAACTTCTGCTTCTGTCTGTGTTTTGATGTTGATCCATTTTCAGTTTGTTGTATTAGAGCTCTGGACTAGGAATTTGGTAGGAGCGAAAGGAGGTCTGGGAGAGGATTGACCTCTAAAGTGTTTTTGTTGTGTGTAATCCTTTTATTATTGAATTTTGATTGGAATCTGGGCCAGAACAGTTAATCACACTGATTTTGGATGGTGCACCCCTGCCAGCCAAGCATCTGCAATGTTCTTTGCAGAGTGAATAGAACCTAAACTGAGCACCCATCACTGTCCTCTGTTCAGCTGGAGAGGGAGAGGCTGCAGAAACTCCCTGTGTGGTGCCTCAGGAATATGTGGATTGAGGAACCTTTTGCTAGAGAGCTTGTTTAGGTACTGCCATGAAGTCCCAGTGACAGATGAGTTGCCCTTTCATTTTTAGAGTGCTCAGGGCTGACTTTAATTTTTATTTTTAACTATTGTGTTTAATCTCATGAAACAGCCTTGCTTTGCTGAGCTTCAGGGATGTCTCATTTTGACTCTGACTCACTGCCGCTGAACCCTGTGCCACCA